GGTTACCCCCAGCCTTAGATTTATGCAAATCTCTATTAGAACAACCAATAGAGCTAAGAATGGCAGCTAATTAACCCTCTGCCTCACACAGTGATTAAGCTGAGGGTGCATACAGCTGCAGCTTCATCAGCAAGAGCTTTATTCTTCCCAAATGGACTAAGCAAATGAAGAGCAGCATTTGTTCCCAGTGGCTCCTGTCACTCTCGGGGTGATCTACGGAAGGCGAGCCCGAGAGAGGCCCCTTCGCCACGCTCTGATCACAGCCCTTTGTTTGACACCACTTATACCCTGTTTGTTTTTAAGCAACTCTCCCAGCCTGATCCAAACGCTGTCCTAGGTACCGCTGCTCTGAGCCTGGTTATGATGAGGTAGCAGATTGTGTTGTTGAATAGTAAAAGTGTGTGCGTGTGCGTGCGTGCGTGTGTGTGTGTGTGTGTGTGTGTGTTTATGATTAATAGTGACTAATGCCAGGAGCCCTGGTGGGGTGAGCATTGAGCTGCTAGCCGCAGGGTCAGCGATCCAAACCCAGCAGCCACTCTGCAGGAGAATGATGAGGCTGTCTGCTCCTCTGAAGATTTGCAATCTCAGAAACCTACTGGGGTGTTTCCTCTCAGTCCCCTAGGGTTGCTGTGAGTTGGAATAGACTCGGTGGCAGTGGCTTTGGTTTGGGTCTGTAGGATTAAGGTTAGGGGGTTGGCCCAGACCCTCACATAGGATTAATTCTTTCAGCACAGGTGTTTCTGCCTGGATTAGTGATCCCAGGTTTGTGAGCTGTTCGGTTGATCAGAGCGCTCAGGCAGCATCTCCTCCTGCAGCAGCCCTCTAACTCCCATTCAGCGGTACTTGAGAACTGGCAGAGAACAGTTTCTTTCTGACAATTCAGGTAAAACTATGGAACTGATAAACCTGTGCCTGTTACCAAAGCAGACGGTCTTCAGAGGAATGTCAATAATAATCATTTGTTTTTCTGGAATAGCCAATCCAGATGAGCTACATCGACTCTAGCTATCTCCTGATGCCAAGAATTATTTTCTATAAATGAGAAACTGCATGCCACAGAATACAAGGGGGCTCTGAACTGTTCATAGAAAAGTGCATTTTTCCACCAACTTTCGGAAGGCCCTTTGTACAGCTAACTTCAGACTTCTTTCTTCATCAAGAGTGGCTTCTCTTCTAGATTGTTAGCTGCAGAACGCCAGCAGCCATATCAATCCGTATTTCCAAATATGGCTATAGATAGACCGTAATTTACAGTCTCTTAACTCTCTGACACCTTATACACAGAGATAAGGGAGGCTAGGGCTATGTGTACTTTACACCTTGCCCCTGCTGCTAAGTAAGCATTAAATAGCTGCTTTGTAATACCAAGCAGGTACATAAAGGTGCATAAGGAGAGATAGCTCCCTGGCGTCCATAGACTCATAAGATTCCCCCTTCCCTTGGTCCCCATGATAAGCTTACTCCGTTTACTTAGAAATACACTGTTGATACTCTGGAGGTGCTGGGAAACCTGAGGGTTTATCCCAAAGGAGAGTATGTATCATTAAAGAGAATAGTTTTGCTTTGTAAATTAAACAAGTCTCACAGATTAATTCTGTACCTTCATAAATCTAGTTAAAAAATCAACCAACCAACCAAATGCAGATTCTGAGATTCACCTTAACCTACGTAAATGTGTTTGTGAAGTTAGGCTTAAAGGGTTATTACCGCTTGTACTAATTCTGTGACAATAAAGCCTGTTTTCTTGTAAGAGATGCTAGTATATAATAATGGAAACAAAAAAGGTCCGGTTATATGGAGCACGTTATTAAAGATCATTGCCTTTCAAAGATTCCCTAGGAAGCATAGACCTGATCATAGGTTTGGATCACAGGCTAGCCTCCAGCGAAGCAAATTAAAAAGGTACCTTTTTAAGTCAAAG